TTTACACGAGGAAAATTCGGAAGGATTCGGTTCACCAAATGTTTAATCGACATTATTCTTTTCGTGACTCTTTTATAACTGCAACAACATATTTCTAAACGTTATAATCGGGATGACGTGATTTCATACGCCAACTTTTGTAAGATAAACCGTTGAATGCAAGGTGGCTTTTTTATCATTGAGCCGTTGCTTCTGATTATTTTCCACAAAAGTTCCAAAACATTTAAGCATATTTATTGGTTTTTCTCAGCTGAGGAACATAATGAAGTTACAAATCTGGAGGGAGATGACAACGCGGATTATGGTAAGAAATTTCGAAGCTTAAAATCATAGCTGGCTCTCTAATTCTTTCTTTCTTTTTTGGATTTGAAATACCTATGTATAGGTTGTAGGTCCATTGGTTTAAATTCCGATTATTAACTTTTTTAGAAACTGCAATTCATGAACTGTCAGGTAAGGGCAACATTCATATGTTATAACAAGTCAAACAAACAACACACAACGAATTAGCCAAACAACTTTTTCGCATTGTCAGATGAACCACCAATAAAATTTTGAAACTAAATTGTGTAGTGCACGTCGAATGACCAACAAATAGGAATGCCCTTTTAACACAAATATTTGGTAACATCAGCAAAAGAGCTATTTTTGATGATGAAGCAGACACTCGTATGGAAAACAATATAACCAGTAACAATATAATAATACCAACTGTATACACTGAAAACATTACAAATAACGAATAGATACTAGCACTAAAACTTTACGATACGGTGCGATAATACGGTGGTTATCTCCAAATAGTGTCAGACGCACCACAATATCAGCTGGAGGGGGAGAAGTGACATTTGGGGTGCCCAGCTTGAATAATGGAAGAAGAATTTTCAGGTGCTTAATTTTCCAGAAATAGTGGGAATAGTATATCATGGCTTCAGGTACATTTGTGGACATACTAACCGAACGTCGCATTAAGCACAGCTTCCGGGTGGGCATACAGTTTACATGACTGCCATTGTAGGAAGCAGGGCAGACAAACGGGAATCCACCGTCTTCTTCTATTAGAAGATAGCCTGAGATAATTTTCTGGTCTGCATACATGTTTCTCGGATATATTCTGATAATTCCTGATCGAAGAACAACCGCACCAAATGCGTTGAAGGAAAGCAAAAAAATCGCTCGATAAATGCGCAACGGACAGGCATGAGAACTGACATCTGGGGAGACGATTTCTTACACTCAATGTGCTTTGCAGTTTCCACTGTTTATTCTTTTCGTGATACGCGTTAGTTTTTGAGATCATTTTTGGCTGCGAGCAGCAAACTCTTGGTTCAAATTAGGGATGAACCGATCTTTCTTCACCAGTAATTAATCCGTTATTTTCTAAGGTAAATCACCACAAGGGCATCTTCATCTAAGAGCTCGTATTGTAGGTGAATCATCCCACGAAATCCCAGGTAGATTAGAACATGTGACCTCACGACAATTAGTTTGATCACTCAACGGTTTGGTCACGATTAGCTCATTAAATTTCATTTAGGAAGGAAGTAGCACAAAGCACATTTCATGCACAGAATTCACATCATGTGGTCGTCTGTGAACTAGCTCAGTAAGCGGTGACGTCTTACGTGAAGTACCACTAATTGTGTGATTGGGCTAATTGTAGCTTGCTGGTGGTGTAAAATTATTTGTACGAGAAACCGGTCTCTGCTGAAAGCCGAGAAAAATAACACGCACTGATCCCCCGCTGACGGCCGAAAGATCAGTTGTTCAAACTAACAGCCAAGAGACCGCGACTTCAAAATCTCCTAGAGTTTAGTTAGATACACCGGGTTAGTGATTTTCAATAGAGATAAGATAGCCGTATAGGGCTTCTCGGCTTTCCAACACAAATTGGCTTTGCTCACAGTACAAAATCTCAACGTAAAATTTCTACATACTACCAATCATCCATAAGTAGCTCATAGTGAAAAATAATTTATATGACGACTGAATTCTCCATCTGATAAGCGTCTTCTCGAGAATTCAGGGTATACTTAACCGCATGGCGTTAAAGGGTTAGTGGCGTTCTGCTTGGAATAGGTGCGAAATAATCATATTATTGTTCAACCGTCCTTCGCCTAACGTTTATGTTCTCAAGCGCAAAGCGGAACGGTTGACGGCTCAAAAGTTCCAATAATTTTGTGGGATGCGCACTGGTGATGATTCTTAATTGGGAGAAGACGGCTTTGCGGTACATTCCCGCGTTTCAGCATTGATCACACGTATGATACGAAATCTCAAACGAAACTTTCCAGATCTTAGCACGCCATTTAAATAAAGTGCATCTGTCGTTTTATTTTATTCACGAATGAGCAGGCACGTGTATAAACACGCTTGTATAATTTCGCTGCTCAGCAAATTGTGCCAATAGTGGCGATGCGATTTCACGGTACATTCATAGTACACGCTGTATGAGGGACGATCCGTATTCGGATGGTAAGTAACAGTGGATGCCGAATGAGCAGTAATGGGTGAACAAGAACTTCTAGCAGCCACATGAGTAATGTGCTTTGTCAATATGAGCTTTTGATTCTTGACCCAGTGACAACCACATATATCATACATCTCAAAGTGTTCCATTCTTAATAGCATTGGTACCATTCGAAGCACTAACTTATCTTTTTGAACGTAATATTCACGCAATTTTCTTTGCCGCGAAATAAGCAGTAAATTGCTAACTACTTCACCTTCTGCCCTCATAAAAAGACCCACGCAACGATTTGGTTTTTCCTTTGGACAGCTATCAAAATAACTCCTGCAAAACCAAATGGGACCACCGGGCGATCTGTATGGGATTTGTACTATGAAAATCGGCTTGGTCATGCAGCGCCGGTACATGATGTCTGTGATTTGGTAAGGGCAAAGTTTCACCCATTTATTTTCATTACACTCCTGAATTAATGCCAGAAACATACTGAATTCGGTGCATATGCTTCATAAGTCCCGAAAAATTGGTGAAGTCATAAAAAAGAGAGAGATCATAAAAAATACATAAAAGATACTAATTTTAATACCAAACTTCATTTTTATGTCTGTACAATTCAATCTCCCTCCAGAAGCAAAGCCCGTTTGCTATTTTAGAAACGCGGTTGAAATCTAGTTCTTGCAACTTTCAGTATTCTTGGATAAAAGCTGTGCTGTGCATCTTAAGACGTTGGTAGGAGTAAACCAAAGTAGTACATACATTAAGCATGTGATTTATTCACACACACCCGCGAATTTCCACCAGTTTATGGGCAGTTTGTGACTGTCGCGGCAGACTTTTGCAACATGTGATAAGATGGTGAAAATTTGAAAAGTGGATTTTGATCATGGTGGATGAATGAAACAAAAAAGTTTGATTAAAGAAGAAGTTTACTTACAAAACCAAGGTTGATAGGTGATAGTTTGGTCGATCAAGACTGCATAGCTATAAGTTGCATCAATCCGATGAGATGTCATTGGCTCCAACGAAACACCCTAGGTCAGTTAGGTTTAAATAACTGATGGTCAATGTTGGGGAAGTTCTAGCAACAAGGATGTGTTGAAAGATATTTTGAATACCCCTAACATTTTGAATATCAGCGTGCTAGTTTAGTCTCCGTGCGTTTAATAGATCGCCGCAAACTTCAGTACATAGGCTCGAGCGTGTAACCAAGGTCGATCATGGTGTAAATCACCACCGAGGGAATGCACTTGCGAATCCCAACTGCATGCACCACAGGCAAGCACTTTTTAGCATTCCTTATTCACGCTTTTGTGTTGACACCCTCTTAAGAGAACTGAAGTGTTTGTTTCCGCTCTAGCTTATTTAATATCAGTCGGTCTCAGACACCAGCAGAATAAGATATGGAAAACGAACCACGGTGGGAGTACTCGTTTGAACCAGAGTTGACGGTGCACTGAGACTAATCTGTTCCATCACAGAAAACTTATCTACTGTCAGTATCGACAGTCGTAACTCATTATATATTCAACACTATATTATATATATTTTTTATCCACTCTTTATATATCCGCACTGTTCCAAACACTAAGATAATATGATCGAATTGTTTTATAACCACAATAGAACAGTTTATTGATTTCAAACAGCGTATTTATAGCATACACTAACCACATCCAGTGGTTCCCGTTTACTCACATGTATGTGCATCGAAACCGTTTGTGTTTATACCCCTGGAGGTCCACAGCCTTAAGATTAATGTCGATAATCTCTGAGGAAATTTCCTGGTCATCATGCATGAGATGATCAAGTCACCACCAATTGGACCATCACAACAAATTTGGACGAAACTTTTGTGCTATTTGATATCAAGGCAGTTAAAGCTAGAATCCACAGTAGCAGCTAATCCTGTACGTAGTTCTGACGGGATTGGATGTCAGAGTTACAAATATTTGTTTTATTTTACCCAACCAAAGGATTCTAAATTGCAATTTAGGGGTTTTGCGGACAGGTATTTTGTTCATAGCCACACCACTCTGGACGGCCGTCAAGTCACCACCAATTGGACCATCACAACAAATTTGGACGAAACTTTTGTGCTATTTGATATCAAGGCAGTTAAAGCTAGAATCCACAGTAGCAGCTAATCCTGTACGTAGTTCTGACGGGATTGGATGTCAGAGTTACAAATATTTGTTTTATTTTACCCAACCAAAGGATTCTAAATTGCAATTTAGGGGTTTTGCGGACAGGTATTTTGTTCATAGCCACACCACTCGCGTTTGGACGGCCGTGATCCTGTCCTAAATTGATTGTTTGAGATATTCGAAATGTGGCTAACCTGCTGTGATGTGTAACAATACATATTTTTTATTCTTGCTAAATGTAGACGCTTTCGGTGCTAAGAAACTCTAGAGATAGTAGTCACCACGACTGCACGTGTAAAAAATTAGAAGCTGGCCAGATAAAATGCTGGATAGCGCTTACGGGATCAATATATAAGATGAAAAATATTAATTCTGTGTATTTTTAGCTAATGAATAATTTGCACTTACTGGAGTACGGTTGCAATGGACCGCTTGTGGCTTGTGCGCAAGAACCCAGAAATCAACCGGCTACAGATAGGACAACAACTACGCTTTACTATCGAGTGGTGAATGCTGAATCACGTGAAACCTGCCTTGCGAATATTGTCCAAACGGTTTCTGACACCGTGAACAGTGTTGTAGGTGGTGCCCAGTTGACAGTTACCAGTAAGTTGAACGTGCTTATTTAGCGAGAATTTACATTTTTTTTGTTTTGATTCATGAGTTAAGAAACCCTTCGGATGTTACAGCATCAGATTCAAAGCATTGGTTTCAAGCCTTCAAGATATCTTCTAATCAACACAAACGAAAAGTTTTGGATACCGTAAATCGATAATAAAATTACCAATAAAACGCACTCCTATACACTGTGACTAGCCTCTGACAGAACCATCAGGTCTTGGTGCCAGAAAGAGCGTTCCAAATTGCACGGAGTGAGTTTGTGTTGACCAAACGCAACCTCTTCCCCCCTTGGGTCAGGTGGGATTCGGTCGCAAGATGGAACTTTGCCCGATTATTCTGAATACAGTGCTAGGCATCTGATTATCAGGTGTGCGCTGCGATGCCCGACGAACTAGTCAACTTGTCCGCAAAATTTCTGTTATCATTCAAGGAGAGGTTATCAGTACGAAGATGGATGCATACTGCTTTCCAGCTTGCTTGAGTTTATACTATTTTCAGAAAGTATGGTTACCGCATAATTCGATTAACCAACTGTGCAACAGGCTTCTAATTTCAATCGCCCGTCTGCGATCTATGTTGCGTCATCGCTTGAGGTGTTTGATTGTATTTAGCTCATTACGCTCTCCCAGTTTTTAAGTATTTCGGTTGACTTCCTTGAGTTTGACCGGTGGTTTACTTGTCTTTGACTTTCAAAGTAGTAGTAATAACGGTATCAGCAGTATTAGAAAGGAATTTGTGTTCATTTCGCGCAACCTTATTTATGTGGAGTGTGCCTCAAATTAGTTGGACAAAATGAGCAAACCAAAGACAGGCCACTCACCAACATCGAATTTCAACATCTGACTCCATCTAGAGGCGTGCATGCAGCAGTTATGAGCTTCTTATAAATAGTTGTAGTTCTAAGGAAGGAAGTGATTCCTATCTTCAATTTTTACTAACTTTTCATGCACAGAAATGATGCCAGTTTTGGAGTGACACCGTACAGCGCGGAATCTGAAAAGAATGATAGCTAAAAACTAATAACACATCATTTAGCAGTGATTTAATGGGTAATTTGTGCCCTACGTCTACTAGGTGATGCACCATGCGCAAAATGTGTTTTGGTTGAAGAATTCCGACCGAAATTCACCTTTGTTTTCTTGTATCCTCACATTAGATGTGCACATAGATGATCATCTATCTCAAATATTGCATCACGTTGCATCTACAATCCTCCCACTTTGGTCCAATTAGTTTCTGCGTCAATATTACTGTGTTTCCACCTTGCGAGGATGCTTAGTGGGTAGGTCAACTAAGCCAGTAGATATTTGGTTGGTATGCTTGTGTAGAAAAGTAACGCATTCAAACAGATAGGACGAAACATTCAGATTACGGTTTGTTTATCCTCACTTAGGTTTTCCGAAAACCGTAAAAGCAATAAGTAAGTTTATTTTCTGGATAGAATCAATTTTTTGTATAAATACGGTTGTAGGATGTCGATGCTGGGGATGAATAATTACTGAGTCCTTTGGACGGGCAAAGGAGGAAAGTGTATCAGAATATTTATTGATTTGTTGCTTATGGCACATAGGATAAACGAATTATTTTTCAGTGCGTTAGTATCACAATAATGATTGCTATACCTCTTTACCGGAGACCCACTCAGACTGGGCCGTTGCCACTGCATATCGACAACTTCCAACCACCAAATTGGTTGTTTCTATAAATTACTCTTGCTTGATCGGTGACTCCCTACTATCTATGTTCCGAAGTACTGCTTTATTCGAAAGAGATTATTCTTTTCAATCAATAGCGAACACTGGTTACCAAAAACAATTTTTTGTTAGGTTTGGAGTCAACCACCGGGTATATGGCTGATATGCTATAATCTGATGTTTCGGATGATGTTTTATGAACGTTTACGATTATTTGAGTACAAATCAAGTACAGCGCCACCCATTTCACCAACCGCATCGTCTGATTGCGATGGTATTGAGGCCGGTTATTGGCCGTCAACTGTGAGTTTTGGGTGTTGTTTCTTTGGTGTCTAAGTTGATCCTAGATGAGATGTCGTTTTGTCAACATGTTAATCAGCTGATATCATGTTGAGATGTTGGTCATATTCGTCTTTGACCAAACTATGCAAATTCTGCAAGTTATATAGGCAACGTTAGTGATATAGACGGTGAGTTATTTCCTCCACTATGGAAACTCATCCCTTATCAACACAGGTCCGCCAAACATTTGGAAAAATTCCCAACGGTGTTGTTGCGTGACGTCCAGGTTTATTTGGCTGTGAATGAATTAAGTGGAGTGCGGCGGAGCAGTCGTTCGTACATGGATTCGCATTTATATAGATTACAGGGTTGTCTGGAGTGGGCGAAGCTGTATTGAAGAATCTCGATATCAGTCAAACCGGATGTGAGCAACTTCCGCTGGTCCTGTTGAATGTGCTTGGATTTGGATGTGGCTGAAACCACAATCATTATTTGGGACTAGTTTCGGGTGGCTCTAGTTAGCCAATTCGCTTACAAGCAAACGAATTGTTTGGTTTTTTTTACACATACCAAAGGCTACTTTCAGGTGTGTCGCCTAAAACCAGTGGTAACTGGTTGCAGGGTTGTACTTAGAATGGTTGGTCAATTCCTATTCCATGTGGACGTCAATGCTAGTTGACCGAATTCCTGAAGAACACTTTCCGCACAACCACATGAAGGGTAGAAACGAGCCATTGGAGGTCAAGCACTGCTTTGGCAGCGAAGTATGGAAACCAATAATGTGTATAGGTAATGTACAATCGACATAAACATATACAGATATATGCATATATGCGGTGTATGGATTGAATCGTAGGTTCATGATATCGTCCAGCTGAGATTCAAAACCGTTCCGCAGTCCATGTGGTTCCGTTTATTCAGGGGCTGTTTCCACTGAATATTTTAACACGAAATTCATGGCTTGACATTCAGTTCGCTATTCCTTAGACCGAATGCCAAACCAGCCGACTTTCGTGGTCCACAGCAATTCTTAATGTTCTGTTCAACACGGAGTGACCTATATCTACTTCGAATAACAGCTTCCAACTTCGATTTCTCAATACACGTTTTGTAGACGTAATGACTGTGCGCATGTGTACTATGGGAACTTACATTCCTAACATCTGTGCCAGGTTTTGTCTATGTCACTGTGTTTTCAGCTGCGTGCTTCACGAAATAGGGACTTATCATTCACGTATTCCTCTGGAACTGCTCAATCATCAACAAATTCTTAGCAGGTACACTTATTTTACTAGAACGGCACGTGCATCTTATTCTTCCAGATCAAGCGTGTCGCGCCAACATTAAATACGTCGTTAGTACATGCGTCAAGTAAAATATCAAACCTGTGGTTGTGTCAGCGTGCTATCATCAGCGTACACTGTTTTCCGCCCCATATTTATTAAAACCATATCATCTCTTTCAAGAGTTTGTTTTAGAGGCTGAATGGGGAACTTCAGAAATAACTGCGACAGCCTTGGACGTCACGTCGAAAGTTCTATTCGAATTAAGAAAAGATGTGAGTGCCTTTTCTTACTCGATTTTTATTGACTACCATTTTCACTACTTCACCAAACCTATCCAGTAAGGCATAACGTAATTTGTTCCGGCAATTTTTGGAATAAACTTGTATTTTGATGGTCGTGTGAACGGGGCTTGTGGTTTCGATATGCCCGCGTTCATTTTACATTAACGACAAAAATAAGCACGCGTCTGCAACGAATGATCACTGATATCTGGCATCCGGCTTGTTAACAGTTGCTTCTACGATGTCCTACAGAAGTGCAGAGCGCTCTCCAGAACGCAAAAACTCTCATGTTATGACAATTATGACGTGATGATATCCCCAACCAACCCATCTATTCATGCCACCGTATCAAACTCCATTCAGAACGGCTTAGCTAATGAATTTTATTTCGGGCCCCACTTGTTCACATGCATTGTGTGACTGAACATAAACAAATCGTTTGTTGATAAAGGTAGTGCTTCTTTCGGTGGAATTCTTCAGTTAGACCGTCTTAGTCGTTGTACCCGCAATAAGCGTCCCATCCAGGTTTCCCTACCACTGACGAAGCCTAATCCCGTCCATTCTAAGCAATATCCAACAAGCATTCTAGAACCAGTTTTGCCAGCAAACAATGACAACCGTCACTCTAAGAGCTTGGAAACAAAAGCATAAACGCCGAAAGATAACCTTTTGTCACACTGACAACTTTTGGGTGGCTCCAGCGGAAACTTTGCGAGCTGGTTTGGTATTTGTATTAGCGAAGTCATACATTTGTAAGGCTGTGGACATGTTGTTGGGTAGAAAGTCGAAATTTTTGTTTACCACCGTTGACGTCCATTAATATGGCCGTCGAATGCCTGCCTATGAATATTCTCGTGAAAATTAGCGGAGCTTACTTTATGACATATATATCTAAACAATTTAACTGAATCCCAAAATAGTATTACCAACGAATGGAAGGCATCCCCTAACCGGATTTGGTGAAATATGACATATCGCTCAAGATGGCCATTAAGTCCTCAATATTTATTGATCGATTCTAATGAGTTTCCGTAAAACGCTAAACTGGCTGTGCTGTACAGCTTTAACGTTTTCTAGGCAGTTCTTTTAAGACTAAAGGGACAGTGTAGGTTAATTATTTCAGCTTGTGTTCAGTGAAGTCAGTTTCATGAGGCCCAACAGATTATTATTTTAGCAATAAACCGTTTAGTGCAGTATGTCTTTTATGTGATCTATATTCAGTCAGTATCATTAGGAATACTGCTTCCTAAAGAACACCTGTGAAGCGTACTAGTTAAAGACTACGCCACGGAAATGAGTAATAACACAAATGCGATGGTATACTTTGTGAACTTTGACCGAGCTACAGTGAGTTACGTTTTCTCAGTAGATGACCGAAATAGAGAATATCAGACTTACACTTTCATGGAGTTTGTTCAACCTTTTTAGCTGCATTTTTTTAGTGCTGAATGTACCCTAGAACTTTTGCCACTTTTTGTCAATACGGACCGAGAGAAAATAGATTTACGTGGGTGTAAGTAATCACACCACTCAAATGCTAACCCATGTGTGCAAAGGTGTGGGATTTTCCGCTTTACTTAAGAGACTTGGCCGATTTTCCCTCGTTTTTTGTGATAAATCCTAAACAAAAATTTGTCTAGGCAAACGGCTCATTTGGGAATATTATCATCTGTCCAATGAATTCAACCCCAATTTGTAGGTCACACACAAATATAGGCATTCAAATATATAGTTCATACTTTGGACAATAGAACTAAGGAATCGAACCGTCATAGGTAAGAGCACTTCATCCTTGAGACCGTATCTGAACGGGTCGATAAAAAAGTTCCATGAATTGCTGGGTTTTTTGTTTTCGTTAAGGAGTTGCATTTTAGACTAACGTAAAAATGTTGTTTTTCATCTGATTTATTTGCCAGTTGTTCTCACGATGGTTCAATCCATTGACCACAGTGGCACCGTTCGCGACTAACTGCATACATACAGAGGGTGATAGATTTCATACAACTGTGTTGATGTCTGCATACTTTAATGCAAACGAAAAGAATGCGGCGCAAATCGCGGAGATGAAACGTCAAGTGGAAAATGCAGCTGATGGTGCTAGCGGTGAAGAGGAAAGCGAGAACATTATTCATTTATTCAGCGGTAACTTATGGCTGTCTTTATTATTCCTTTCCTTTATTTCGAATGAAACCCATGGAATTATCAAAAAACGTAAAATAATCTAAAAGATTTTTTCCGTCTACATAAAATTTGGTCGATACTAGGCTGGGTGACCACAGGTCAGGAAAAGACACTTGTTTTTCGAACAGTAAAACTTTCTTTGACAAACCTCCGATTGGAATTAAGAAACGGTCTCACGAGAGTGAAAGAAAGTTGAAATGAAGAAAACTGTTCCTTCGTACCAGTAGTGCAATAAAAAGTATGTGACATCTCGGTTGTCTGAATCGCAATATACAAAAAGTAGTCACTTAGTAAGTTGTCATGTACATGGCAAACTTGATAATATTGTTCGGATCTTCACTGACAAAGAGGAAGTCAACCACTGCTTCAAATTTATGTTTCAAGAAAGTCAAGAGTTCATACTAATCCACCCTATTTACCCGTGAATACCGCTAGCTTACCTGTTCACAGCCAGTCAAACACGCAAGCAAAACGAGCGATCTGTGATTTAACCATGTCACGGCTGTCGGACGGTTCGCGTTTTTAGGCCTACCGTTCATTACAGAGTAAACCGCAGATCGGAGTAACCTATAAGTGCTCTGAATAGGCGATTCGATTGTGGGGATATTCAAAAGTGAGCAGCGCCCATAAAATCAGCACAGATAACCCATTTTCAAGCAGCAATATCATTGCTGTAATATGACATTTTACACTCAATTATTGGTCGGATATTCATTCAAAAAAGGAAAGGGTTCGTGTGAACCAATTTGGCTGACTTATCACATACGTAAAAAGGTGAAGATGCACAATAATCCGTTGCTCTGCATTCCATGAGAGACCTGGTTTGCGAAGCCCCAGAATCCGGAAGACTCCTGGTAGAAAGATAACTTCTCTGCTTTTCTTTTAGACGATCGAAACACCGAATCCGTTTTACGGGTGCACCTGTATAAAAGATAAACATTTTGCCTTGCTGATTTTCGCTGTGCAAACTATGGAGCCTTTTCGTGCCGACTTCCTTTAATATTCAGCACCTAATAATTGGGCACAAATTTGGGTGAAGCAGAGGGTTCTTATGAGTACTATCGTATTATAGTAGAAGAAAAATGCACGTAGCAAATTGTTACTTTTGGGCGCCGGCGTTTTCAATGTTGAGCGGACATTACAATGTGTTACAGTAAAGCAAATCTTCAGTACTTTCAAAATGGGTGCTATTAATACTCCAAATGTGAGAAAATGAATTAAAGGTCTCGGCGAGTGTAACGTGGTGACTAATATCGTAGGACCAGAAGCAGACTGCATTAGCATCAACTAAGTCTGATGTAGTATATCTTTAGACAGGAAATTGCAGCTACTCGAATCCGGATGTGAAATGACTGGCCAACATTCTCTGGTTCATTTGTATCCGTAGCCAAATGAACCCCTCGAGTGGGTATTGGGTAATGTGAAAACATATTTACTTATCCAGCCATCCGCATCTGGAAAACAACTGTCTAAGCTGCCTGATTAACTTTGTTGATAAAACAATTTCCGCATCTCTGAGATCTCCGAACAAAGTCCTTATTTTCAAACAAAACCAGCTGACATTGCCTGCTGACTCTGAGGTGACCGACTATCTAAAAATAACGCAGTACCACACATAAGGGATTTATTGTTGGATCTGCCGTTAAAGAGCTAGTAAATATCCGACCTTAGACTTCTTAAGTCTAGTCTTGGAATTTTGTGAAAGCAAACATATTGGCTAACAGCGTGATATTATTTTGATCGTCTAACTGCTACAGATTTGACTCAAGTGGAGCCGGGCGAACAAGAAGGTGAGTAAAACTGGTCAATCCTAGACGAGCCAGAAATGAATTGAACGGCGTGCCTAAAAATATATCTTCCACTCTGATCAATTTCTTTTGTTTCGCCTCTTGGTATTCAGACCGCGTGTGTGAATTTATCCCCACCGAGGCCGAAAAATGTACGTTTTAAATACATTCGTGGTAAAATTTAATGCTACCTTATCGATTAACAAAATATCGTTGAAAACATATGAACTGTTTACTGCCAGGTTTTCTCTTCGCACGAGCACTAAAGGTCGGATTACATTATTCCACTTTTAATACTGTGAAGGACGATTCCTCGAGAAATCTGTTTACCCAACGTAAGGCAGGAATAGCTAAAATCTGCTATTTAGTTCGCTAGACGTCGTCAGTGACGGTTAAAAAATATTATCAACCTTCAGGCCAATTAAATTTGGAACGCTGTAAAACTCATCAAACTTTACTTACTCAGTAATGACACAAAACCAATGAATTAGTGCGCTTTGCTGCCAGATAGCCTGTTTAACTGATATGGTTTGGTAGTGATGATCATTCCTACCCCGTTCATCTGCGAAATAATGGATTACCTATGAAATCATTAGCCCCAAATCGGTCATGAATAGGAAAGCAATGGGCGTTCTGCACATGGCACCAATAGAGATATTATATATTTAGATCTCTGTCTGTGATTACCTTATATCGTACTACACATGCTAAAAAATAGAGGGCTGAACTGCAGTTAAGATCAAGGCTTTTTTATCAGTTTAAGGGATTAATATTTTTTACTAATTAGTGCTTTGTGATAGTCCGTTTATTTTTGCCTCGTCAGCTGAGTACCCCTGAAACTCTCCGTAACAAATAATTTATTTCATTGTTTGAGGGATGCAGCTCGTAAGGGAAACCCTTTCCTTATTTTATGTGTGAACAGCTACTGACCAAGTGCTGAAAGAACGTTTAATTTTTCACAAGATTGACAAGCGTGTATTTCGATCATAGCTATACGTTTACACTGAATTAGGCGTCACCGATCTCCTTTATATCATTTGTTGTTCACGCAAATGAATACCTCAGGATCAACAATCATTTTCATATGAAGATATTAAAAGGTGTCAGCCTTATGATTCGCGGATTTGATTCACCCAAAAATTTCAGTGATTGACTCAGCCTACCCATCATATTTAGCTACAATTTTTTAAAAGATCAAGCAATGGAGGGAACTTCCCATTGATACTGAGATATTTTATTTACGTTTCAAAACCAGACGTTCATTCACCAACCGTGATTTCCCTTATATTTACCGCAACTTTTCTGATATAAGCGCTATGACCTCCCAGAAAGTGAATCGCCATATCGTATTTCTGATTTTTATTTTTATTTGTTTGCAGCAGAGGGTATGACTGATGAGGACAACAACAATAACAATGTCGTGACTGATAACGACAACACTTACGACATTGACGGTATGTATGTCAAAATTTTGGCCATATCTCCATAAACGAATAACATTACTTTCTACGAAGGTCTGTGAGTAGAATTTTCGCCCGTTTCTGAGAACCGGTGGTAGGCAACCATCTTTGACGGGTTAGTTTTGAAGGGGCAAAATGTGTTACCCTTCTGCTTAATTCCTTCAGGATGTACCAGATTATACCAAGATGCAAGGCCGATTCAACCTCATTGGATGGCATTTGTTTTCTTCGCCGCGAACTAAGTGTCTTCCTTGGACTACTCTGCCAAATTGCAGTAATGGCACTTTGTTTACAACCAAAAGCCGGATTGAACTGTTCTTATAATTAAGTGGCTATATCTGGGGAGTAATATGACTAAAGCCCAAGTAGGTTGAATTATCTGCTTGGTTGGATATTCGATTCAGTTAGTTGACCTTAGTGAGTACTCCACACATTATCTCAGCTTTACTGTCATTATCAGACTTCCTATATATTTCTGTATCATATTATTTTGAGATTTTGGACTATTTGATCGGTTTAACTCATGAAAACATTTCTTACATTGACACAAATCCGATAAGTTAACCACATTTTCTGGGTTATGTATTGAACTGACTAGTTCGTCTGATGGAACGATAAATGCGGCTGGACGAGGCTGACAACTGATAACTCCAAGCTGTTTATAACACTCGATCTTCTCATGCGAGGAACTAGGGCTTCTCGGCTTTTCAGCACAGATTGGTTTCACTTACAGGACTAAATTCTTATTGAACATTCCTAAATCTACTCATTCCATCAAGAAGTAAATAATGTTCATCTGCATGGAAATATACTTTAGGTTTCTCAATAGTAAAACGCAAGTTGTCATTGGGCAACTTCAGATGAAAAAGGGCGATAGACAGGTTCGACTGCATGTAAGAAAACTCTAAAACATATTCTAAGTATACTTGGCTCTGGAATGAACTCTGCTTCACAAACATCATGCTTGCCCTTCTAGTATCCCCAACCAGTTGATTAACATCAGAGAGACGCAAAAATCAAATGCCCTTTATCTAGCCTTGAGGAACTTCGCTCTTACCCTGTCGAGTCTTAAATACCCCATATGTTTTAATCCATCCGGTTTACATTTCGACCTTTCGGCCTTCACGAGTATTATCCATAAACAACTGACATATATGCCACTTTGGGCGGTTTCTATCATCGGACACCAATAGAATGTATACATGTTAACCGTCACTGAAACTAGGGTTTATTCACAACTCAACGCTTCTCGACTAAGGAGACGCAGATTCTGTCTCCCTGTTGGAATGAAAGTAGCACAGCCAATCTATACTTGCCTAATGGTAGCATATTTGAGGCAGTGCCGATGATTTATAATGGAAAACTCCGCGGCATATCAAACCTTAGAATCAACATGAACGTTTTACGTCCTGACCACCATTCCTATTCCAGAAGAGGAAGGGGATGATGAAGAAGACACTGAAGAAACAACAACAGAAGATACGGATAGTGAACCAGAAATTTCCATCGGTGGAGGGGTAGACGATCTCGGTAAGCAAGCTAAAATATACAAAGCCAAAATATATGCAGTAAGAAAAAAAGTGGCGTGCTTTTTTCAAGAAGTAACATATACCAAGTACTCATGATAAAGAAGCAATTTTTGAAATTTTTTGGTTGACATGGCTTGGGTTGGTTCATAGGTATTTAAAAATCCTACTTTCCGATTATTCCAGAAAATTTCATCCAAAACCTTTCAGGTAAGACGCGCTTTTTAAAAGCTTCCGAGGAAGGCTGTCATCACCATCTGCTTTAAGTGAACTCTTGCTGGTAAACTTTTGTCCAATCAAATCCACTTACTGTTTGTCTGGATTCACAATGTAACGCCTAGGTTTGTAGATCGCGGGGATAAAATTAGAAGGCCAGTCAAATGAACTGGCATATCTGACATTATAATACAATCCAAACGGCAGCACGTGCATTTTTATTGGATTCAAACACCCGTGATAACTCAGATTTTACTCCTTTTTTTCATACGCCTTAAACCGGAGTGAAAAATTTTTGTCTGTTAGCCTAAGATTGAAAATGTTACTTATGGTGAGGGAGATACTTGATCGTTAAATGCGACCTATTTGATGCAGTCCATCTGATGAGTTCTCGTTAGGTGAACATAGAAAAACAGGCCACGCTACATTTTAGGCAGAACACAGTGTACCTTTCTTCAGGACTAATTTCGTCTAGCCTTACAGCTGCAGATGAAAAATTCCGAGAAATAACTGTGAATAACTTGAAGCACTTAGGCAGAAAGAAAAAGAATTGTAACAGGCGGTTTCTATTAGATATCGTTCAAGGTTTTATGAGAAATAATCATAAAAGTGCAGTCCCACTTCGGCTTGAAAAATTTTGGTTTATGATCTCAGCATTAGCATTATGAAGGTTCTGTGATTCTACTCTTGAATGAGACCACTTTTTTCATCGTCCCGCTGCGTGATAAAAATATGCCCTATGCCTGAAAACAAAAAAGCGGGTACTTTCATGGCAGCCGACTCGAGTATTATGGATTTTACGTATTGAGGTGAATAGTACACTTTGAAAATGCTTGCGTTTATTGCCCAAATGGCACTGCTTCGGAATGATGGAAGAAACATAATACAGGTTTACACTGTTCTGTGGATATACAATTAAATCAGCTCAAATTTGATGTTCTACTTTTGAATATGGTGAATCTTCGGTAGCAAAAATTGGAAGAGATGACCAGTGGTGTTTATAACGGAGGATTTGGAGCAAACAGAACGGTCTTTTAAATACTATAGAGCAGTACTTTTCGAGAAGGATTTGGCCAGAATCTTGAGGTCATAGTGGTTGTCGCGTGAACGCTCCTCACTAAACGCCCCTAGTAGCATTAGTTGAGCTCTGAAACTTCCCGTTCGATATCGTACTGTAATAGGATCAACGGCCAACTGACTTTTCAAAGCTGTTTTAGCACTGTTCCAACAACGACCTATGTAAAAGTCATTCGATCTGTCTACACAATATGCAGTCACAATATAATAATAGACTTAATGATTGGTCCTGTGAATATCGATACTGAAAAGATGGATATCAGGAAGACCTTGAGTGGACCCATTTAAACAAAATGTGAATGGAAAGGCATGGAAAGACACTGGACAAGAAACGAACCTGTAGGATCTTGTTTGCCGAGCGCTTCCCCTACAAGCCACTGGGAGCACTTCCCACCTTACCTGCGTGTACTGATTTTGCTCGATACAAAAGCAGCAGATGCCTGCCAGCTACATTAGTGAACCCCTTATTTGCTTTCGACAATGGGCCAGATGTTGAGGCTGTCCAGATACACAAAGGGTATTAATTTTAGGTCGACGCCAGATGAACGGAGAGATAGAGATGACGAGGTTGATTCCTATCCAACGATACTGTTTTTTTGTGTTATATGTATTTGGGGCTATTTTCTCCATTCAGAAGTCCGTAAAATAGCCTTATATCGTTCACAGATTCATGCCACCTGAATCTAATCAATGTTTAATTCAACGTCTACTTTTATTTTGCGTTCAGTGTGAGTAGAACAGTGTTTAAGGCTCCTCAAAACTCCCAGTAGTGGTTGCTTACACTTATCGTTAAAAACGGCACACTTGTAGCCTCAGTCAGATCGCCTGCAAATATGGCCACGCTAATCGAGTTGAAACCAGCCTTTAGGTAAGAGCTATTCCTGAATCTTTCTGACATTCTTGTGACACATAGATTACTACAAATGGCCATCATCTTTTAGTCGTTTATCCAGATCTACGCTCTCATTACAAAGAGATTGACTTTAAAATTCCAGGGTGAGCAGTCTCACCCATATCAATGGATGGTCATAGGCTAATATGTTAGATCCGTTTGGTAACTGTGCTATCTGAACGCTGGTGACACACCACGCTGAAACAGACTGGCTGGACCACAGTGAAGAAAATTTATATTTACATGCTCACTTAAACAAAGCCAGCAACCACTGATGGGGTTTGTTTGTTTTGAGGAAACTCAGGAGCAACGTCTGACTACCTTGAGGGGTAAGGAAACGAAAGACGCAAGATTTACCTTGAGACACTAGGCAACGAAATGTTGTCAAGACCCAATGGGCACTAGTACGATGATTTTACACTGTGGCTACACTTCTGTTCAGGCTAAGCTAGACATTTGTAACTGCAGTCGTGAATGAAGTGATTAAAGTATCATCAAAATTCTCTCTAGAAAGAAAACAAACAGTGGGTATTTTGGTAACAGATAATAGCAGAACAGCCTAGCATGCCTGAAGTAGACGTTTGGAATACCAGCTCTAATGATGAGCTATGAAGGTGGCTCTAAACACTCCATAAAGATCCTTGGGCGAAACTACCTGTAAGACCGTGTACACTGTATGTTATTTTGAGCAGGTTTTAATTTCAAACTAATTTCGGTTTTGGTTGTGCAGCTTCAACAGTTTTCGAATATTCGCCTTTTCAAACTTTTCAGCTTTGTTATCCGTCAGCTTTATTTTGACCTTTATTTCAGCCATTAAAATAACACCAGTGATTTCTGCTGTTAGCGGTTCTCCGTGGGACCGCCTCTATAAAAAGCTGAGTGGTCTCAATACAAAGCTGTATGACGTTTGTGACTTAGTAAGTAACGTTGGCAAATGCCATTCCTTTATGGTAGTTTATCTGGAGATTTTACTCCAACTTCTGAAATCAACTGCTTCGATTTTTTGGGCTCATAATTAATGCATCCTATTATCAAAGTGAATTATTGTCTAGCGTGAAATCATTCAGAAGAAGTTATGTTTACTGGAAACGATACTATGCTTTCATGCATGTAGTCATGCTGAGTTATTACAATAGAATAGGTAGAAATAATTTTAGGTGAACCTAAATTTCACCACTCCAAGTGAATTTTGCTCATTCAGGATAGGTGTACTTTTGGTTACTTTCAACGCAATAATGTTTTCATTGTAATTTGAAGGTTTGAATTATTGACAGGGTGGGCAAATTTGATAACCAGTACCTCGTGCGGTCACATCAGCAGAAAGCCCACTTACCTCTGTGCAATTCTTGATCTCCCCCCTTAGTTAATGCCAACTTTGCGCTCAGTAAAGTTCGAATGTAGTGCCGCTCTGGTTGCCTGTTCTCAAGAACCGCAAAATCAGCCGGCCGATCAGGGGACCTCGGTAACTCTATACTATCGACTACCACCAGCCGAATTGAGAGATAGCTGTATTCAAGGCGTCGTCATACAGGTTGACGGTACTCTTAGTGACAGTGAAGACATCAAATACCTGACTGTTTCGTGTAAGTCAACTGTACATTTTAGACACTGCCTAGCGTTGTTTCAAATTTATTGCTTTGCTCAATCACTATTGAATAAATGTGCCGACAATCCTATTCGCAACTAGTAATCATATTTGGCCGCTTTGTCTTATTTGTCGTGCATATTACTACCTCCATTGCTTCTTTAGAGAACAGCGTTTTTCATTAAATTGTAAGATAATCAGGCGTTTTTCAACTGTTTTTGTTTTCTAACTTCCAAAAATCGTAAAACCTCTGACAGTACATGTGTATTGCTGCCATTTGGATGTGCGTCATCAGTTCCTCTCAATACGAGAAAGAAAGCGCTAATTTTTAGTTTCTCTCTAGTAAGAGTTCACAAGTACTGTATGTTTGTCAGCGTGTCACTGCACAACCTTCGGAGCTAGTGTGTCACAACTACTCCCCAAGACTTTGGAGAAAAATCCAGCAACTCTAAAAAATCATGAATATTGCAATTTGCTCGGGAGCCATCCACTAATTAGGCGAACAATACTGCAACCGTAGACATTCGTCAGATGAGTGTCACATTTGAAGCAACTCGGTCTTCTCAGCAAAAATTATTTCACACTGCAGGTCTAAAGGCATTGAGGTGAAATTAAAAGCCTCAATTTATATTCCGGAAAAATAAACAAATCAGGGTGGGCAAATACCCATCTTTTGAATGTTAAAGTAGTTATCTGCAAACATCTTTATCCCAACGCGCCTACTAAACCATTTATCCTATGGATGCACATAATTACATGAAACATAATAACAACTAACGTTAGTCATGCTCATAGAACTTTACTACAACTATTCAGTACGGGAATTTGAGGAACTATATCCGGCAGTAAGTGGAAATCTTACCAGTGTCTGGCTTACAAAGCAGAGGAAAATATCTCACCAGAGGATTCAGTAGCGAACATGGAGTACCCAGACGACCGGAAAACAACAATAGTTTTCCCCAGTCCTTATGGCACTGCTCAGTATCAAGCGGTCATATGCAAGCAATGTAACCTAGATACAGGTAGAATCCATCAAAGCAGACAACGAGAGAGAGACTCAAAAAAGTCAATTTACAAGGAGGAACTCATGCAGTGATGACACGGTTGGAATATGACAACGAAGCTTGGAAGATTTGCATTTGCGGTGGAGTCTGACAGGCCAGTTTCGACAAAACCGTATTAGTTGTCGGAGCTCAAGTCGAATCCTCTTGTTGGAAAACGGTGTTCCTCATTTCGACTCGGTAGGAATCCGTTACTCATTTCTTAAATGGGATCGTCCGTGTATGGGTTGTCGATGTTCATGTCTCATTCCACTGGGATTATTACAGAAAGCCTTCAACTTGGCTCGACCCGATAATATTTGTAGCATTCTCACGTTTCTCTGTGCTTAGCGCTACCTGGAAATATCAGAGCAATAAGTAAGTGAAAAACAACACAATCCACTGCGGTGCAAAATTTCATCCCATGAAAGGCTTCTTTGACGGCTTCGAATATTCCCCTTTGTCACTGCAATTCCATTTCTCCCGAATGAATTCATAAGTACCTTTACCAATATACAAGCTATTCTAGGCGAACGATTATTACCTTATGACGCTACGAAACTCACCAATACTTTGTAAATATCAGTGTGTTGCGCCAGTGCATTCTCAGTGGACTGGAAACCGTAAATTGACTAGAAACTAAATAATAAAAACTGAGCAGTGAAGCCGTCGGTGAATCACTGTAGTGTTGTGAAGGGCAAGGTTTGTTCTATTAGTAAAATAATATTTTCCCGAATGAATTCATAAGTACCTTTACCAATATACAAGCTATTCTAGGCGAACGATTATTACCTTATGACGCTACGAAACTCACCAATACTTTGTAAATATCAGTGTGTTGCGCCAGTGCATTCTCAGTGGACTGGAAACCGTAAATTGACTAGAAACTAAATAATAAAAACTGAGCAGTGAAGCCGTCGGTGAATCACTGTAGTGTTGTGAAGGGCAAGGTTTGTTCTATTAGTAAAGTTAAATAATATTTTGGATCATACTTTTACCCAAGATAATCACCGGCGTTACGTTTACTCGTAAACTGACGCGATTGGACTTATGGTGCACTACTACAATACCTTATTTGGACACATGAAAACATCTAATAAATCATGTCATCATGAATGGAGTTTCTATCAATTCTGCCAAAACTAAAAAGCTCTAAACTCCGGATTTCTTTCCTCACTAAAGGACAGCAAATCCTCGTTGTTAATAACCGTTAGTGTGCTAATTTCTGAATTCCAATTCGAATATTTCGCTGGTGTTTGTTGAACATATGCGTACACATGGTATTCCACGTTTCATCGTTCATCAAACAAAGGAGAATGAATTTTTCTGAGAAGAGATAAAAAATGCAAAAGTCTTCATCAATCAAACAGGAGGATGGCAAAAATGAAGCGCAATAAATGCATAACTTAGCTGTGATATTTAGTTTCTGATGCATCGTCTGTAGTTTTTGTGCTATAGAAATCTAAACAATAAGACAAGTTGCTAATGGGCGCGTTCATTCACCACCGAGGTTTTTTCGGACAAATACTGTCAAAGTAGGGCATCGATTTTTGTCACCCTTTCGAGGTTGTTACCCTTGGATTTCGGAGTCCAGTATATAGCTGAGTTTGCTTGGGAACGGAAACCAGATGCTGTCCTTTGGTGTTGTCAGCCAACCAAGCTTATTGATGGGACCATCAACCACGATGATGTGTGACTGATGTAATCCCCAAACTTGATTAACCCTAACTAGAGTAAAAGGCCTGAGATAACCAAAAAGATATCATTCCATCATGTGACTGGATTGGAGACATTGCTCCCATAAGCACTGAATTCCTCCCTAGGATCTGGCCTTAAACTTTACGCATCCCTTTTGAGACTTATTTAATATTACTGCCTAATAATTTCTAAAAAAAATTCACTGCTGCTTTGGTGTAATGAATCATGAAGTCCTCGTTTAAGGAAAATATTAAGCCCCCTGTTTCCACTGCGATATTTTCTTGATCAAGCTTCTACAGAAACCTTAATTATGGTTACTGGCTTTCTTTCCTTTACACTGGGGAAAAGGATGCTAACTAGGCTTGCTTCACTCATAATGAACTATGACCTATGCTCTGGTGAGACATAAATGCTAATTTTGTGAAATCTGGGTAGTGACAGTATAGTCGGCTTGTTCCCCAAACTCGGCGGGCGAACCTACAAATAGGAACAAAAGTGGCTCTTAAGATTTTGTTAGTTATTTGGGTCCCATCCATGGAGCACATTTTGGTTCGCCAAATAGTACAAAATCATAGGAACTGAAATCACTGTTTCCGACCTCAGTTGCCGAATTCCTACAAGTGCAGAGATGTAACCATTTTCAAGTAGTTAAATGGTTAAATGAAGATTTCTAACGATATAAATATCTTTGTTTCCACTTTCCAAGGATATGTACTCAGAACCTATTGGGAAACTTCAAAACAAACCGGTGATACCCCAGTGCCGACTGCAAAAGTGATCTATCACTTGCGAAAAGATGTGAGTATGGTTGGCTAAAAGTGTGTGAGGGCCGTGAACTCTTCGAAACACGTTGTTATGTATGGACACTGCTTCCTCCTTAGAATGGCTGCCCATAGCTTGTAGAGAAAACTCAGCATTTCTCAGTAATAAAGGATGATGGTTGATTATTTATAGGTATTGTCCCTGACGGCCGTATCTTAGATATCGTGGTGTAAATTAGTTTTAATAAGAGAGTCGCTGGACAGAGTTTTATAACTTATGCCACTTAACGTCTTGATCTACAATACTAACCCACATGCTACTCTAGCTTCACATGGGTTGACAAAAAATAATTACGCATATGAAAGTGGATTTCTTGTTCGACCGAGTTTCCAACAAATTTCGGATCCCCTACCTTGAGTAATTCCCCAAGGCCTTGTCATGCCACTCAGCGAACTGTTTTAAATTACCTTACTTACAACTTTACGTGGGATCCTACCATTCTGGCTATGGTCACCGTGATTATCATAGTACGTAGCACGAGTCCCCATTGTCCACACCTATATCAAACATGATGTCAGTTAGGCCGATTGCCTGGTAAAACAATGTCTGTGGCTGTGAGCTAAGCTTGTGTGGCAAGAGAATAGTTAAGATTGCTGAGATTGGTAAGACTCAATTCAGCTGGTTTACACTCACCGAAAACAGGGCAGGTATTTCTTGAGTTTGCAGCTTCCTTGTGTTTGGCCGTTCTCCCTGGCTTTTGGCATGAAGTTTTCACTAACGCCACCTCCCTTTATGCACAACTAGGGTTAGTAGTTCACAAGTATCTCCTGTTACTTTTTTGGTTCCACAATGCTGATGATGGATTAATGGTCTATTTATGCAACACCCGAGGATTGTGAACATGCACCTTCTCCCCATCGAACGCATCCGAAAGCGTTACTGGTTTGCTTTACACCAGTGTTGCCAAATAGTTTTAAACTGAGTACCGTTTTTATTATTTCTGAAACAAGAAAACCGAAATCTATTCAAAAATATGAAATGGGAAACTTTAAATAACCGCTATCATTTTGTCGTTGTTAGTAATTAGTCCTGAAAAGCATAGCGTAGTTATCGTTTTCCACCTCTGAGTTAAACGCAATGTGATGAGAACCAATTTTCGGAATCACCACGTGGTAACTGAATTGGCGATAGGCGTAGTATCTTTCAAATCCACTTGGCTTCGCTAACTCACAATAGGCCGCAGAAACTTTGAAAAGGTAAACTGTCAGGAATTTGTCAACACACATACCAGCAATAGGTAAATTACTAACTTACCTATTTGAGGGTGAGGAGTGGTTTTGAGGGCTGTAATGCTTTCCCCTCAGTCATGGCACCGAAGAAAACAAATGAAATATCAGTAAAAGTAACTAAAATATGACAGAAGTGATGTAGCGGTTAGGGAAGTTGGATTACGACTTGTAGTTTTTAGTTGATTTAGGTTAGAATATCCAGGTCAGTTAACAATTGCGTTGGCTGATGAGGGTCAGACGTTTGTTTGCTGATAATAAACGTAAAGCTAAATAAAATTGGGTTTAGAATTCGCATAAAAAACTAGGGAAATGTAGCTCACACACACTTAGGACAGAGAATCAGGTAACTCTCGTAAGCTTTTATTTTCACAATTAATCTTTTACGAACCACTCAAAAGGTGCTTAAGTTAGTTGCAATGCTTGAATGCTTGAGTGGACCCTTTCCTGTCCAAATTTTAGCTAATCATGTCGGTCAGCCACATTGAAATGGATTTCCCTGGGAGTTTATAACATGATACTTCTCAGTAGGAATAAAATAGTCACAGCTTTCCTCGGATTTTCAGTACAGAGCACCTTTCTATTGCCATAGAAACTCTAGACGGAAACTTCAGGAACTGTACACAACCACTTTTTAGAATCACTTGCCCATCTCCAGAACGCCACATTAGTGCTGAGTGTTCCTGACTTAAGCCGGAGCCTTATTCAGTGGAATCTCCAAACAGTTCCGTGTAACAAGTTATACTTTTGCAATAACCTGTCATTAAGAAAACTGTTCACAAGGTTCCTGAAAAGTCTTCGATAGCCCATGACCAGTTTTGCCCTTCATGGGACCCCCCAGGCGGGCGCAGTCCCTGAATTCTAGTCAAACTTATGTTCTACTCAAACCAGCATTAGATATATTTCAACAAATGCAGTCATTTGTATATAATCAAGCTTGTTAGTAGTTTTCCTTGTGAAAATATACTGCGATATCTCGAATATGTACCGACTGGCTTGTTAGTAGTTTTCCTTGTGAAAATATACTGCGATATCTCGAATATCGTACCGACTGAAATATGAGGTGGCACTTTTGAAGATCGTAAAGGGGATATTCAATCAAATCTCCCGTGTAAACCAAATTGATACGCAAATAATTGTATTTGTCAAATTCGCCAACTTGGTTTCAAGTAGATCGAGGAATGACAGTTAATGAAATGTGGTTATACAGTTGTTGCAGTATGGAGTATGCAATCACATAATCCGCTCCAACTGTAACGTATCAGAAACGTTGATATAAACATTAATCTAGGTTTCTGGTGGAAATCATCCGATTAGAACCACTGTGGTTTATTACACTGTTTTGTTATTAAGAATTTCCTATTGGTAGTAAATTCCCCGTAAATTTATAATCAATCTGTCTTTCATATGAAGGCCCTTGTGGTCTGAACAAATTTTCAGATGTTCTGGAGGCTGGTCAAACAGACATATCCCTCAATCCTTGGCAAATTACTTGCATATTCTCTCAACCAAAGTGATTAGGAATTAACTTTCTTGCATCCTTGTACGTCTAATCTGTCTAGCTATTTGAGCGTTGGTTGGCAACGTCGGGAGATATCAAACCATTAGCCATTAACTGCCTTTGGACGATGGCCGGCATATTAAAAGTGACGTGGATGTCAATTTATTTTGACTTCGCTAAGTTTGCTGAGGTCGAGAACGTTGAAACCTGGATCGAAAACGTACTTGATCAACGTGGAGATAGTGTCGCTTTGGAGGACTATGTTGACGATGTTATGGGTAGGTGTTGCGCGTTTTATTTTGACTTCGCTAAGTTTGCTGAGGTCGAGAACGTTGAAACCTGGATCGAAAACGTACTTGATCAACGTGGAGATAGTGTCGCTTTGGAGGACTATGTTGACGATGTTATGGGTAGGTGTTGCGCGTTTTTCACAAAATATTTTGCAACTTTTTTTTCATTTTTTTATCTGGATTTGGGAACTTTTGATAAGTATGGATTAGCAGGTGGTGTTTCACCACGTATCAACTTTTAACCACACAACAGCCCTCTGAACAGGCTTCAGTAGGAAACGTGACCTGTATTTTGATAGCAGCTGACAGTGTTGTCTGAAGAAAGATATCAATTATGATAGAAAACACACTGACAGTTCCGGAACAGGGGTTTGAAGTGCCCGAGAATTCGTATACTGCCACTGTTTCTAAAATGAGCAGCTGATAGGAAAATTAAACTAAGCCTGATTTTGATTGACATTCGGGGATTCCTGACTATCTAAACGGCTATGCCCTACAAAATCAACCTGTCGTAGTTTGTAAACATAGGCCGCCTTTTATTCCAAACAACAGGGCTCATAATTGTTGCCCTATATTTCTTGAAACATGCGAGTATAACTATTGAATAAATAACGGTATGGTAGCAGGTGTTAGTAGACTCTGGTTGCGTGATGTGATATTCTCCATGTTAACAACCGTTTACATTCAAATATACATAAAAGTTAACATATAAAACGTGGCTTTATAAGCACTACAATGTACGAAGACAAAAAACCTTAGTTGCCGCTCCGTCCACTTTTATGCGCAACATATTCACCGCAACATATACTGGCCCAGCGGTTAGCTAACTGTATTTAACCCTCAGTTTAGGATTACAATAGTTCCGACATCAACCACACTTTGGAAATCGTTTATGATAAAATTTGAGGAATGAGAGTTACTGGTTGACGAAGGTTTAACCAGGTTAATGAGTCAGTTGAACGTGGTGCCTATTATAAACGCATCTGGACTAGGCAGCACATATGTTTTCTAGTTTTAGTTTATTGAAATGCAAACGTAGCATCCTAAGAGAACTTTTTTCACTCCATAATGGACAGCACATCAGAATAACGTGAGCCAAGAACCTAGAACAGAATGGATATCCATTATGGTTAACCAAGAGAGGCTAGCGGCGGCCAACCGTGAGATAGTCGTCAAAAAACCAGCCGAAGTAAAGCTTCCCTTTAACGAAGAAACCTCAGTTGTCTAAATTACTACTAGCTTGTAAGAAATGTAAAAAACTGGGAGGAACGGTGAGTAAGCAGATGGACGAAATGTTACTATTACCTTCTGCCAGAGAAGAGAGATTCATTGGTGTTGTTTCACACTGTATAACCGTGTAATTTCGAAGAAAATTGCTGTTGCGGAGCTGAATTGCATCTTATCATCAGACCGCTGAAGTTTATCTTAGTCTAGGAATAAAACTACCTTTCAAAGTCCCGCTCAGCGTTCCGTGCCCACCGAAATTCCCCATGGTCATCATCCGGTCAAAGTTGGTTGACGGTAGCTCATCGCACCGATCTCGTATCGCGTTTTCACCACCTCTCTTCACTACGGAGTCACCCGTGTTAACTTTTGCCTATCTTGAACAATGTTTCAAAATCTAATGTGCACTTGTTGTCTACCTTTTATTCGAACTCTTTAAATTTGCATAGATTACCAAACTTACAAGCAGGACCCTCATACCATTTGTTAACTCACACTTTTTCAACAACCTGAAAAGCTTTCACATGACAAAATCATTCCTCTATCAGCGTTGTTCAAAGAATGTTTCAGCAACTCAATTGTTCCACATGTCTCTTGTCGGGAAAAAATTCCCACTCTTAAAGAGACTGCTAATAATACCCGTTTAAATAAACGAAAAGAATGAATGGTATGTTTTGCCGAGAGTATATACGGTGATATCGCATGTATCATGCTAAATGAATTATGAGGCGCTCTTTTTGCGGCAAGCTTACTTGAAGAATGCAGTTAACGGCACATTCAGCTGCGTTCGTCGTTGGCATTTAATTTATGGATAAGCTTATTTTACTAAATTCGCACAATGTGATGTAGGGGAGATTTGGAGCCTGCAACCTCCTCATAAGTCTTAAAAAGGACAAAAACTCTTGTGGGCTATCAAATATTTTTCTGTAATTCTGTGAATATCAGATATGTCGATTCACTGAATGCTTCTCCGGTGGCAGTGTGTATAACACTAAGCGAGTTGATATCAGCTGTATGCCTCTAGTCACCCAGAATAGAACTCGAGATTTATTTCGTACTCTAAAGCTGTCAAGAGGTATTCATGAAGCCGAAGATACCAACCGAAATACCTTAAAATTAGAAACCGTTGTATCTCTGAGGCGAGCTCAAATTAACATATAAACACAGAATGGAAAACACTGACATCTTATCCCGCATAAAGTTCCAGTCATTAATAAAAAACGCCAAACGAAACCCAATAGGGATACATCTGTTAAACCTGTGAATCACACGATGTGTTTGTAGGCGTAAAAAACCAAAATAATCTGCGCTAACGAAAAAAAGGTAGGTGTAATACGAATTCGCTTAGCAAAACTAAGTGAAAAAATACAGCAGTTGAATGTTAGTCTCAAAGCCAGTTAAAAAGCAAACTCAATTATTTGGCTAACGGGGCATGAAATCACAATGCACTCCTCAGAAGAGTGAATGTTACCTACAGGCTAATAGTGGATATATTGTTTCCTAAACGAATTATACGCGCCTTTTGGTGTCGAGATTTCTCCACCTTCATTATCCAAAAGTTACTACTCAAAGTGCCATCAATTTTTGTAAGAAGGACTAGATTCCCACCACGCTTCATCACATGCATACCAGAACATATTATCCATGGGCTGTCTTGCATACTTCAGAATATCTTAATGAAAGTGCGCCTATTTCTGGAGGGTAGCACAATCCAATCAGTGGCAGAATGGAATGGGAATACAAAGGCGTGGCATGGTTCTACTTGGCTAGAATTTCAGACTGCCTGATTGTCTCACATGAAACATGTTGGGCCTTCCCAGGCTCACAATATAGTAGGGTGGTCCATGGGAAAAAAATCAACGAAGAGCTATCCGGTGATCATAACTACACAATCCATACACACTATCTCACTAAAAACCTATTTCTGCTCGGTTATTCGTCAGAGAAGCCACTGCGCGGAATATGTCTTACAAGTACTTCGACGTGTCGCATTCGTGTAGCAACAGAACTACATCAGTTAACAAAAATTAATGGTGTCTGTTTGCAACAGAACACCTTTAATTCACTTCTGTAACATCCAGTCTGTGTCCTTCAATTCCGACTTCACAGTCATTACATTTGTCTTCGCGCGCACATTGTCACAGTATCACTGTTTCCTATTCTAGGTTCTATACGATTCGTTTGTATATCAATTCTTTAGGCATTAGTGTTTGATCAACATTTCATCAACGGTGGACCCACATGATCACACTGCGCGTTGTCTCCTAAAGTGCACGGCAGTCTATGTTTATTTGTTCCAGCTGTCGACAACCGTTAGGTCGGATAGATTCTGACGGAGACAATATTCTCGGCCACTGCCATGGAGCTCTCGCCATCGCAATATATGAAGAACATTTTCGGCTGACATAGCGCTATTTCATACACCACGTTTGCTCAACACAGGAGAGTACAAACCTGAGCTCTCCTCCAACGTTTGCCTTCGCGCATGTAACTGACCTTATGATACTGTGCTTCGTAAATAACACAGTTATGCAAGCACTACTGCCTCAGCAGACGCTTAAACGTTTTTCGGATACAACAGGCTTACTTTCAGCGCAGACAGGAGATGAAATCATTAAGTGAGGTGAAAAAAAACAACCAGCAGGTGATCTCGAATTCCGGTCCTATATAACAGAAATAGGCAGTAACCAGTCACTGTGTTTTCTCTATGATTACATTTCACACGCGCATGATTTAGCTGCTGGTGGACAAAACTGTCATGTGGCCCAAAATTTATGAGTTTTTCGAAATGTCGCGTGGAACTGGATTAGGAGATTCTGTTTCTACTGGAAGTTGCATCTCTGTGTCCAACTGACCACGAATATATTCCGTCTGTTTTTGTCAAGTATAAGCGGTCTAGTAAGATTGACGTGATTGCAGTAAATGTGAACGCATTTCAAACACTTGTGTCAGGTAAAAACCCAGGCGTTGCGATTTCTGTATGAAACATAGAAATGCGTTACTTTATTATAGATCGTGTCCTGATACGACCTGGTGATCAAGAAAGTAAGTGTAAATTGTTTAACTGCCATCTCCAATGATAAATCTATATACATATGTACATCATTGTCCTTGTCCGAAGCATTGGCCACACATTGTCACACCTGGGAACGATATACATGAATGATATATACTGGACCAAAAAAGACAAGCAAGTATCACTCTGTAATGATTTCGCCCCAGTTGGATTCTACTGAAGGTCTCTTTCTTTCTCCTTCCACAAACGCTTAGATAAATTTTGCGAATTCATGCCAGAACCGACCAGTGAGGGTGAGTATGATTTGAAGTGTTGGGTTTGACGATATGGTTAATCAATGTCTTCAAACAGTGGTGTTCGAGAAAAATACCACCTAGCGCAGAAATCCTCCAAACTAACTTCTGTGTCATAAGAAAGTAACAAAATGGAAAGCATGGGCGATGCGATTCTGTAGTCCGAAAAGGTAGGCAACACCATCCACTGAAAGAATGTAGATCAACTAAAAGTAACAGCCTAATTAAGGGTATGTCCACTGGACTGTACATGAAATTACGACCTGCACAGTTTTGGTTTCTGGTCACCACTGCACAATGTTCTAATTTAAAGGTCACTTACATGCCACCGATTTTCATTTACCTCCGTTATGTTGGCCCCAGCAGCTGGTCTATTCGGCCGCTATTCGAGTGTACCATGTCACTTTTGAAGCTGATCCCCATTTACTCCTTTCGATCCCCGACCGTATTCGATTGTATTGACGTCCCCCCAGGGGTCGGTAACGACAAACGGATCTTGTCATCGATTATTCAGCGTCTGCGACCCCAGTCAACTCCTTCCAGGACTCTGGTGATCCTTCCACTTGAAAACTGGGTAACGATCGCG